GCTTTAGGGCTGATTCTGAGGCCAGAGTGCTGTTTAACCTTAGTTCTTTTTGTTTCCATTTTGCCAAGTGCTGCACCTTGTGGGAAGGGAACAGGGTACTTTCTGTCCATCTTTCACGTTCTCCTTAGCATCTAGCGCAGTGTGAGACACCAGACTGAGAAGCAGGGCCTGCTGGGGCCTTCCCATCAGGCCATCAAGAGTTCTTTTGGCATCTTCATGAGAAACATTCTGTGAGCCAATTTCTGGTTCTCAGGACCAGGCAAAGAGGAGAGCACATGAAAGAATGGGCTGGCCAGGTGTTTGGTTACTCTTGGAGTGGAAGGCTGGTGGGCATCCTCCTGACATAGTTGTATTATTTGATTGCACTCTTAGTAGACAATAGGCATCATTTCTCTCCAGAGCTTTCATCCGTAAGAGGTGCTTTTCATGGTCAGTGGGAGATGGACTGTGCCTGAAGGGTTGTTAGGAATAGTTCTTGGTGGTGCTTTACTCCACACACTGACCCTGGGGCCACAGAGAGAAAAGTAGAATTGGTGCATTAAAATCTTCATTGTACTCCTCAAAGTGCCTTCCTGCAAGTTCATTCTAACTAGAAGAAAGGTAGAGTTCTTAATTCATTCAAAGAAAAAGAGGTGACTGGATCAGACAGGGCCACATGGCTCAAGAAAGTCATCTGAAGCTTTCCATTTATTTAAGAGGAGGGAAATGGGGGTGGCACAGCAGTAACGATGCCCACCTCCAATATGGGACTGCCTGGGTTTGAATCCCAGCTCCCCTTCCAATTTCAGCTTTCTGTTGATGTACTTTCTGGGAGGTAGCAGGTGGCAGCTCAAGTAGTTGGGTTCCTGCCACTCATGTGAGAGACTCAATTAGAGCTCCTAGCTCTGGGCTTTGACTTAGGCCAGCCCTGTCCTTGCAGACATTTTGCTGAGAGAGAGAATACATTTCTACCTTTCAAATAAATCTTAAAAAATTACCAAGAGAAATGAGATAATTGGTTTTAAGACATCAATGTCAAAATAGGCATTTGTGGCCATAATGTAGGTCCTTTTCAGCCTTCTTTCTATTATCAAAATAAGCCTCAGTTCATTCAGTATCTGGTTTATTAGAATACTCATCAAGCACTTCCATGTTGAAGTTAACAAATACATAATAGTAGGTATTTTAGTTAATGTTTGGACTATGGAAGAAGAATGCATTCAGCAAATATTGAGTGCCTTTTACATACCAGTCTCCTAGTTGGCATTGAGGGAGAGCACAAGAGGACTTCAAAGAATTCATGGAAGAAGGAAATCATAAGTTTATTTTGGTATAAAACATTTTGAAATTAGTTTTTCAAAATAGACATTTTACATGAATTTTTGGAGGACCTCCTCATATACTAACATCAACAAATGAAACCAAAGTGCCTGCTCTAACAGAGCTTACTTTCTAAGCAGAGGAAACAGGCACACAAAAAGAATATATAAATTATATCATTTTCTAGTTGTTGAGAAGTGTTTTAGAGAAATAAAATGGGCTATTGAAGAGGGAATGTAGAAGTGATGCAATATTTATATGAATTGAGAGAGACAGAGCAAAAGGTCTTCCTTCCGTTGGTTCACCCCCAAAATGGCCGCTACAGCCGGGGTGTTGCGCTGATCCGAAGCCAGGAGTCAGGTGCTTCCTCCTGGTCTCCCATGCGGGTGCAGGGCCCAAGCACTTGGGCCATCCTCCACTGCCTTCCCGGGCCACAGCAGAGAGCTGGACTGGAAGAGGGGCAGCTGGGACAGAACCGGCGCCCCAACCAGGACTAGAACCCGGTGTGCTGGCGCCGCAGGCAGAGGATTAGCCTAGTGAGCCACGGTGCTGGCCGAAGAGAGCAACCTTTACCCTCCCCACACTGGCTCACTCCACAAGTACCTGCAACAGATGGGGCTGGACTAGGGCCAAAGCAGGGCACCAGGTCACAGTACAGATCTCCCATATGGATAGTAGGTACCCCCACCATCACTGCTGCCTCCCAAATTCTGTATTAGCAGGAAGCTAGACTCAGGAGCCAGAGGCAGATATCCATCCCAGGCACTCTAATTTGGGATGTTGTCTTAACTAATGTCATAACTGCTAGCTCATCCCTCTTCCTGCTTTTTCATCAAGGCAGCATTTGGCTAGGGGATAATTTTACTGAGCTGTGTTAGAATATAGATACAGGGGCCAGCACTGTGGCTCACTTGGCTAATTCTCTGCCTGCAGCGCTGGCACCCCGGGTTCCAGTCTCAGTTGGGGCGCCGAGTACTAGTCCCAGTTGCTTCTTTTCCAGTCCAGCTCTCTGCTGTGGCCTGGGAGGGCAGTGGAGGATGGCCCAAGTGTTTGGGTCCCTGCACCCACATGGGAAACCAAGAGGAAGTACCCAGCTCCTGGCTTCGGATTGGCGCAGCACCGGCCATGGCGGCCATTAAGGGGAGTGAACCAACGGAAGGAAGACCTTTCTGTCTGTCTCTTTCTCACTGTCTATAACTCTCTCTCTGTCTCTGTCTCTCACTGTCTAACTCTGCCTGGCAAAAAATAAATTAAAAGAATATAGATATAGAAGATAGAATATATAGAATATGTATAGAAGATAGAGGTCACATGCCTAGATTTCTTGTAACATTGGCAGGTAAGGAAATGCATTTCCTGCCCTTTTCTTTGCATTTTGGAAACCAAGATGCTGAGTTTCCCATCTATGAAACTGGGCTGACTTCTATCTTAACTGCCTCACTGTGAGGCTAGGGTTTGACATCAGATACACATGGGCAGGATGTCTAACATGGCTCATTGGCATTTCATTTTTCCTGTGGAATCAAACATGATGTTGCATTTCAGAAACATTTGTTCTTCAGAATGGTTGTCCAGAAAAAATGTTGGTCTTGTCTTTTCCAAAACTGGGAAATGCTTTAATCCAAAAATCATATACTATAGTTTTTTAAGAAATCAAGGTGTCTATAATATGTCTATAATTTGTATTGATCTATGGTTTTTTTTAATAAAAGAGATCGACTCTTAGAATAAAAGATCTTGGAAAATGGGAAATATTGAAACCATTGTTTGTCTTGGAGAAAATAGTATTCTAAAAAAAATGGAATAATTTAGCATAATTTCCATTATCCTAAAAATAGCACTAGATATTTAAGATGACGACTGGCGCTGATCTAACAGCCATTATGGCAATACTGATTATTATTTTTAATTGTACTTTTCATTGAGAAACATTGCCTCCAACAAAGGCCTTCAAAGCCCATTATTTAATTTTCAGACATTTGTGTTACTTAAACAAAAACCTCAAACTCAAGACCTTAGTGTGAAAGATTACATTGGTCCTTGTCGGACAAAGGGATTGGCTGTGAGAATATGGCATAAGTACCTTTTCATTATTTTAGCTCTCAGAGGCTACATGTCTTTGTACATAAGCTGGAGTGTAAAGCTCATTAACATAAGAGTTGTTGTAAGGACCACATCATAAGGTAAATGTGGAGCACATGCTACCTACCTGTATCTATCTATTGGTTCCTATGACTTTTCCCATTTTATACTTGAATTACTGGATTTACAAACGATTTAAGACTTGACTAAATTGTATAACTGGCCAGTACTCATGGAATGTTTTTAGTAGTTGCAATCAGACTTAGGTTTCAGTACTGTTTAGAATGTGAGGGTGTACTCAGTCATTGTAGGAAACTGTAAAATCTGTATTGGTAAAATATGTTTCTAAATTACTAGCTTTCCTGCATTTTTTTTGTTTTCCTAAAGGAAATAATTTTTTTAAAGATTTATTTATTTATTTGAAAGACAAAGTTAGAGAGAGGCAGAGAGAGAGGTCTTCCATCCACTGGTTTACTCCCGGATGGCGACAATGACACGCCAGAGCTGTGCCGATCTGAAACCAGGAGCCAGGAGCTTTTTCCGGGTCTTGAATGTAGGTGACTTGGACCACCTTCTACTGCTTTCCCAGGCCATAGCAGACAGCTGGAACGAAGTGGAGCAGCTGGAACTTGAACACTGCAGACAGCAGCTTTTACTGCTGAGCCACACCACTGGCCCTGTTTGTTTCTTTAGTTGCTTGCTTTTCTGTTTTTATCTTTCCTGACAATTTTTCATGCACAAAAGATAATTGAGCTTTATACTATTGCTTGAATTCTGAGATCCAAGTAACATGGTCAGAGTTGTAAAAGTACTTCAGATGTCCACTTGAAAAGGTGAAATTTTCTTTCTGTATTTTCCTGAGAGTCCTGATGACAGTAATAAATGTGAGTTTTGCAAAAAGTGTTCAATGATCCCAGGCTGACTTCATTAGCACTTTATGTATGTGTAAAGTTTGAAAAACACTCTTTTTTTCCTCTTAAGACTGAGAACTCAGGGCTGGCGCCGGCATCCCATATGGGCACCGGGTTCTCCTGGTTGCTCCTCTTCCAGTCCAACTCTCTGCTGTGGCCTGGGAAGGCAGTGGAGGATGGCCCAAGTGCTTGGGCCCCTGCACCCACATGGGAGACCAGGCTCCTGGCTTCAGATCAGCACAGCGCCAGCTGTAGCAGCCATTGGTTGGGTGAACCAATGGAAGGAAAACCTTTCTCTCTATCTCTCTCACTAACTCTGCCTGTAAAAAAAAAAAAAAAAAAAGAAAGAAAAAGAAAAGACTGAGAACTCGGTATACAAAGCACAGTGTACCTGGAATTATATATATATATATATATTATATATATTTTTTTATCGCCAAACATGAAATGGAAGAGTTTATTCCAACATGTTGGAAGAAAAAGGCATGTGGCTTGCACAATTCAGATTTCCTTTGAATCCCTTGGGGGATAAATAACCTCACCCTATCTCAGATGAAAGAATTCTTGCCTTTGGATAGCCCTTCCTTCCTGACTGTGTAGCTGGTTTAAGTGGGGTTTCTGCAGAGTGAGTTGACAATGGTGCTAGACTTCTGATGGCATGTCCCAGCTTGCCTGTTTCTTAGTGTGTTCCCAATATTTTCATTTTAGGTGGTAGAGATAAACGTGGAGGTCCCATCTTAACATTCCCGGCACGCAGCAATCATGACAGAATACGACAGGAGGATCTCAGGAGACTCATTTCATATCTAGCCTGTATTCCTAGGTAAGTTCTGTGTTGCTTATGATTTGTCACTTTTTTCTTAAAGAGATGTGCTAATGTATTCTTTAGAAAACAGCTGAATGGAAGCCTACATTCCAAGCCAACAAAGCAGTCAACTATGATCTTTGTCCTTATTTCCATTTTATTGTCTAGTTTAAAACATACTGGGTGCAGGGACAAGAAGGCAGGTGTTTTGTAGGGAAGCGCTTTGTGTGTTAATGGTGAAGTTGAGATACTCACTAAGCTGGGATTTTAGGATGTGAAGCCTAAGTTAGAAATCAAGCAGAGTAATTGCTGGTATTTCTGATAAAAGACAGTGGACTGAATGATCAGACATGAGGTACTGTTTTTGATAATAGATTACTGTCTCTGTGCTGAGTTTCTCTTGATTTGTAGCATGAAGTAGGTGGGGCATCAGAGGTCCTTATTGGCTTACACACTGGCATCAAATTTGAGACTACATTAGTGATAGTCTGGGAGATTTTTAGTGTGAATGCTGAAGAACACCAAGATCAAGCAATGTTTCATTTTCCAGAGAGACCTCAAGGAGAGGAGCAGTGCATCCTTGGCACGATCTTATTTAGACAAAGTCATAGTCAAAGTGGAAGTTCTCTCTTCCCTTCAGAGAAAGGTACCTCCTCCTTTGATGGCCCGTTCTTTCCACTGGGATCTCGCAGAGATCTTTCATTTAGGTGTTTTTTTTTTTTTTCCCCCAGAGCGTCATGGCTTTCCATGCCTTAAAATACCCTCATGGGCTCTTCAGCCAGATCGGAATGCCTTAAGGGCTGATTCTGAGGTCAGAGTGCTGTTTAGGACATCTGCCATTCTATGAGTCTGCTGTGTATCCCACTTCCCATGTTGGATCGTTCTCTCCTTTTTAATTCTATCAGTTAGTATTTTCAGACACTAGTCTTATTTATGTGATCCCTTTGACTCTTAGACCTATCATTATGATCAATTGTGAACTGAAACTGGAAGATCAGCTTTTGTTCTGGCTGCTTTGACCTGCTGAGGTATCCCTGGATTTTTCTGTGAGGATATCCTTTACAAGGAAGGAAGTTTGCCTTTTCCTCTGATTCTGGTGTTTTCTTGGGCTGCTGAACTATTGGAACCATAGATTTAGAAAGGAATTGAGAAGGTTTTTTTTTAAGCACTCACCAGCCTTTATGAATAGCAGTCTCTTTTATGGTTACTGCTTACCAAGTTTGGGTGTGTCACATTCTGTGCTGATGATGGAAAAAGAAATAGGGAAATACATAGGACAATGTAAAAATTTAAAAAATCCCTGCCAACTGAACTGATATTTGTCATATAGTTTGATTTTAAAAAAATGAATTTGGTATTCAGGTGACTTAAAAAAAAATTTAGAATACTATATACACATGTAACTGTGAGAGCTTGCCTTCTGTTTTTGAAACAGTGCTTGCCCAGCCTCAGCATTGGTCAGATTCTGCCAGTCTTGTTTTTCTCTCATTTTCCCCTGGAATATTTTATAACAAATCCCAAGATAAAAGTTTGCTCATAAACACTCAAGTATGTAGGATGTTCCTTCATTGACTGAACAGTCACTTCATCTCGTTACCTAGACTTGCTTTTGTATTTACAGTTTCAGATGCCGGTTTGCTTGTCCTTGGTTCATGAGCAAGTGAGAGAGGTGGAGTTAAGTTGCAAATGATGCATTGGCTAAATGGTAATGGAGACGGTTTCATGGGGGTTCAGAGAGAAGTAGAGATAAAATGAGTCCCCTTGCTGCCCACCCATGGTCCTGCAGGTTCGCATTCTCTAGGCAGCCCTCAGCAGACCTGTGCTGTTTGGTTTTAGTCAAATGATAGGGTCAGAAACAGCAGCAGCCAGTTAATGGTGTGTGGTGTGTTTTTGGACAAGCTCTGTTTGTGTGTAATTTGTGAATCAGATTGCTTGTTGTGGTTTCAGAGTAGTATAAACCCAGCTTCCCAGTGGGATTTATGACCTGGGGGTCTGTGAGATCTTTTTATCTGTCCATTACTCCGGACCTTCTACCTCCTTTCCAGATTTGAAGGTTGCCCTCTGGCTGTCCCACAGCCAAGTGGTCACAGGGCTCTGCATTCCATTTGCTACCAAACAAAAGTGTGCTATGGGAGCATGGGGCTCAGAGTCAGATTATCTGGGACCTGGAATGAGTTAATTACCTTTATTGGTTTTCTGGTCTATGAAATGTGATGATAATCTGTGCATTGTGGTATCCTTGAGAATATTGAGTGAGGTTATTTATGTGCTTCTGCTCATCTCAGAAGGCATACAGTAGTTTCCTTCTTTCTGTTCATTCTTCTCCTTTCCTTCAGTTGCTTCCTTGTGCATGCTTTCTAGAGGTAGGTTTCCCTGTTTTCTTGTACATGCCCTGCCGACTGTCTGTGCCTCTCATGGTTGAACATAGTGAAACCTGAATAGCTATGAGTAGTTTAGGTATTAAGCTTGGGTCACCTCCCCCTTCCTTTTTAAAAAACAAACATGCACATGAACAGCTGGAGGAATAGGGTGATTAATCCATTGGCTTAATTTGCAAAGAAACATTCTATTCTCTGTTTAGCAGAAACAAGTCATGGCAGCAGTTTTTGATGCTATCATTGGAATTCCTGCTGTGATGGAAACAGCAAGGCTTGAAATGTCTTTAGGTAGTTACTACTCTATCTGCTTGGATTATATTTTATGCTAATTATGTTCTAAAACATGTTGCCTTCTTTAGAATGATTTATAGTAGTAGCTAACTGAATAAACCACTCTGAGGCTATTGTCACTAATGAAATAATGTGAGGTTTCTAGTTGATTCATGAACATTGCCATAGAAAGGTACTTTTTTTTTTTTTTTAAGATTTATTTATTTTTATTTGAAAGTCAGATTTACACAGAGAGAGGAGAGGCAGAAAGAGAGAGAGGCCTTCCATCGATGGTTCTTTCCCCAGTGGCCGCAGCGGCCGGAACTGCACTGATCCAAAGCCAGGAGCCTGGAGCTTCTTCCGGGTCTCCCACGAGGGTGCAGGGGCCCAAGGACTTGGGCCGTCTTTCACTGCTATCCCAGGCCATAGTAGAGAGCTGGATCGGAAGAGGAGCAGCCGGGACTAGAACCGTTGCCCATACAGGATGCCGGTGCTTCTGGCCAGGGCATTAACCCACTGCGCCACAATTCCGGCCCCGAAGGTACTTTCTTCATTCAGGAACTCAGGACAGTAGACTTCCTCTTTATTGGAGACTGTGTAGAGAAGAGGATTTCAGTTTTATGTAGATTTTCTTGATCTCACCAATGACATGAGGTTCTTAGTTTATACAACTAAAATAGCCAGGCAGTCAGTCACATTTTCCAAAGAGGCACCCTGTTTCCTTCCTGTCTTCCAGGTAGAGTAGAGGCTTGGAGGCCTTCTCCTGTAGGCAGCTGAACATGTTCATTAGCTACTCACAAAAAGGAGCCAGCTTCAGGGCTGTTTGTAAGTCCCTGCTCTGTTCATAGTGATGGCTTTTAGCTTGATGAAGACAGATGGCTGAAAGGCTGTGCACTCGCAGCCCAGCGCATGTGCTGTTTTCCTTACTGGGCGGTGACAGTTTGATCCTGGAGGAAGAATTAGTTAATCCTCCTGTAAACCACGGGAACCAAGCACATTTTTTTGGTTTTGTTGCTTTACCTCTCATTCATGTTGTTAAGCCTGGGGTCATCTGGGATCTCTTTTAAGCCCCTTTTAAAGCAGGGGGTCTTTGTAGTTTGTGGAGGAAAACATGGGAATTTTGTCTTGATGTGGTGAAGACTGATGCTGAAAGTGCATGCTACCATACAGTGACTAATAAAACAAACAAAACACAGTGCTTCAGTTTTATAGTGTGGCTGTGGTATAGGGTGGCAGAATGTCTGGGTCTGGGGTAGAAGGTGCATCTTTGCAGCCCTGGAGTTTCTGTGGAGTAGACTCTTGCAGGGTCACAAACCCCATTAGAGCCCAAGAAAGTCCAGAATACTTAATTTCCAGGATTTGAGAGACTTTAGAAGACATGTCATCCCTGTTGACTCTAGGTTTGTGAAGGAGGACGGCAAACAAAGGATGTCCCTGCCTGTGATGTTACCTGGTTTGTGGTCTAGGACCTTCTTGGGATGGGGAGATGTAGTAGCACAAAGTGTGGCACATTTGGGCCAAATGTTAGCTCATTTTCAGTTTTGCATTCATATGGAGGTAGTCAGAAGTTAGTTTTCCACTTTTGAGTGGTAAGCTGGGCTGCTGCATCAGTTGGTTTTCCCTCCATGGCCTTAGCACCATGTTCCTATCCCTGTGAGCTGCTTATCTGGTAGGGGTTTATGCCACAGAGATTTTGGGATCTTTATGTAATGCCCCTTCTCATATTGATGTCAGTGTCACTTTATATCAGTGAAACTTGGAATGCCACCTACTCTGATGTTGGGACTCAAGATAAGGAAGAGAATGGGATATGTGAGAAAAGTGGGAGGAATAGTAGGGAGCAAACATAAAAATTGGTTTTAATTTTGACTTGACTTTTTAAGAGAAAATACTAAGTCAAGAAAACATGATACTGGTTTTAATTTTGACTTTATTTTTCTTTCTAATATTACTTAGTGATTATAATTAATGTTCTGGGTTTTTAAAATGTGGTATTAATATAAAGATTTAATGAAGTACATAAATATAATTCTAAGAATATAATGATACTTCCTTCACACTCTTTTTCCCTCCCTCCCTTCCTTCTTTCTTTTCTTTTTGAGAGAAGTGTTCTGGGTTTTTAGTGGAAGCTGATTTTTCAGGATGATTTCCTGAAGGAGAAAAGTGTCAAATGTCTCACCCATTGTGGCAATGTGTTCACACTAAGTGAAAACTTCACATTCTCATTGAGTACTCATAAGATCCTAAGTTTATTTCCAGAGACCTTGCAGGCATTCACACCTGGTTAGTGTCTGGCGCTGGCATCAACAGCCTGGACTGTTGGAGCCCACCATAACAGTGCAGGTGACAGTTGTTCCTTAGCTGCAGGGCCTGTTTGACAGCCAGCACAAAACGTCCACCTGTATTGTTGATGTTACCACCTAGTAAGACTGTATTTAAGAACGTCTTGACTCTTGTTGTGTATATATATATATATATATTTTTTTTTTTGCCAAAGTGCCTTGCATGTACTTTCCATATATACAGAGGTTGAATGTTAATAGGATTAGACATGAAGAGAAGAATACAAAGCCTCGTAACACCATCTTAATTTGTGCCAAGGGCCAGTCATTGCTTGTGCATCAGTATAACTAAGTTAAAAAGGTCAATCCAGTCTTTGTACCACTCTGAGACTAGATTTGCCCCCAAAGAGCTCCCATGAGAGCTCCTAGTGTAGCTAGACTGCCCTTGGAGACTTACTGAAATAGCATAAGAGCCAAGGGCGCGATAAAGGGAACAAAATAGGACATTGGAAAACTCTTACCATGTCAGCTTCATAAGGGGGGGGGTCGTTTTCAGAGCTTGTGTTTCTGGGAATCCTGGGGTAACGGCTGTCCTCACATGGGCTCTGCCTCCCCCAGGGGCTCAGTGCTCCAGTGTTCCCCAGAGACCTTTCCCCTTGGTACCTATGGGCAAGAATGTTCATTCAGGCAATACCCCAGAGAGCAGAGAAATGGGCACAGTGGATATCATTTTGCCCAGGACAGGGTACAAAAACCATAAAAACAGAATTAAAATTATAAAGCCTTTTGAAGTTCAGCCCTGTTTAGATACATCTGTGTTCTTGAATGCTTCTATTCCCAGCCCAGTTCTGTTCCTTTATGGCATGAGGGAGTGGGGGTTGAAGCAGAGCTGGCAGGAGCCTCTGGCTGTCTGCTTCTCAATGTCAGGGGTGTCTGTGCTCCTTCCCACATGTCAGGCTGGGGAGGGGAGTGGAGTCCCACCCTCCCTGGGACTCTGGTGGACAGAGCCTGTCCTCAGCCTGTGTGTTCTTGCTCCGCAGTGAGGAGGTATGCAAGCGAGGCTTCACAGTGATCGTGGACATGCGTGGGTCCAAGTGGGACTCAATCAAGCCCCTGCTGAAGATTCTGCAGGAGTCCTTCCCCTGCTGCATCCACGTCGCCCTCATCATCAAGCCAGACAACTTCTGGCAGAAACAGAGGACAAATTTTGGCAGTTCTAAATTTGAATTTGAGGTAACTTCCCCTGCGTGGCCATACTCGCTAAGCCAGTAGTTGTGGTTTATTAAAAGCTGTTGTAGCCTCATCATTTTAGGCTGCCAATAGATTTTTAAATAGGAACTGAATATCTTATGCACATATGACATGTGAAATCAGTTGTGCAGAACATGATACGGTTGTGTTCCTTATCCAAGTGGGTTGTCTTATGCAAGGGGGTTGGGCTTTATTTCTCTTGGTGGGGGAGATGGGGCTGTGGAGTTGGGGGTGTCTGCCTTAGGGAGAGGCATGTTTCTTGAACTTCACCTGATGGAACAGCTTCACCAGCCAGCACACAAGTGGTTTTGCCTGGCTCCAGATTCATCCTTGTGTCTCAGTCCTGGGATGAGAAAGCAGCATTTGGGAAGAACACCCAACTTCAGATTTCCTGAGGAAAAAATAGGGTGACACAAAGGCCTATCTACCACTGATTATGGGGAGAGTGGTGTGAAATTTGTGTGTCATTTGTTTCATATCTCTTGTTTATGAAATGTTTTCCCACATTGTGCTACTTGGATTTCTAAATCCCTTTCCATGGTACTGATTTCTCTATCTGAAATCTGAATTTGGTTTTAACTTAAATTTGAAGCTACACATTAGGTTTAGGTGAAAGATGAAACCAGTAAGTCTTTTTGTCACACACAGTAAGAAGTGATTTTGGAGGACAGTTTGTTGGGCCTTAGTGATTTTTTTTGATGCAGAATTTTGAAGTGATTTAATTACATATTTTAAGTAAAAGTAATGGTTTGGCAATATAGTTCATGCAAGTTTTCTTGTCTAGTTTCACCGTCTCCCTCTGGGCACATAAAGATACCTATACCTGTCTCCTGTTGTTGCCAGCCTCCCCAACAGTTACTGAGTCCAACAGGTGTGATAATAATGAGCTTACAGGAGCATTGCTGGCAACAACACTGGGTTAGGAGCCAGCCTGTCTTTTTTTAACCCTGCTGCTTTTTGCTGTTTCTTATGCCAGACAACTCAGAGATGCCAGTGTTAGGTTTCTATAAGGCTGAAGGTGACGGAGGCCAAACCAGCCCTTCTCTGTTTTGTCTTTTTTATTTACTTTTATTTTTGCATTTGGTTACCTGTCCCATGTTTTACTTGAAGCATCATACTAGTATTAATCTGTTTTATATTTTGTAGGGCAAAATTTCCTGTTTAGACTGTAACTGACTAAAACTTTGTTCCTGTTAAATTAGAAAGTAGGGCAGATCATGTCCAACATTAATGCTGCTCACAGGCACAGCAGATTATTACAATGAGTAAAATATTACTTGTGACTTCAGCACTGTGGAAAGAGACTTTGCCAGCTTCCTTGCTAACCCATGGATCTTTTTTTTTTTTTAATTTTTAAAAAGATTTTATTTATTTAAGAAGCAGAGTTATACAGATGGAGAGACACAGAGAAAGGTTTTCTATCTGCTGGTTCACTCCCTAAATGGCTGCAGTGGCCAGAGCTAGGCCTATCCAAGGCCAGAAGCTGGGAACTTCTATCAGGTCTCCCAAGTGGGTGCAGGGTCCAATCACTTGGGTCATCTCCCACTGCTTTCGCAGTCCTGAAGCAGAAAGCTGGATCAAAAGAGGAGCAGCTGGGATGCTGGAGCTACAGGTGGAGGCTAACTACTATGCCATAGCACCGATCCCAACCCTTGGATGTTTATTAAATTTTTAAGAAGTCTCATTTACTATGACCTGTTAACTTAATGGGAAGTGGAGAAAGCACAAGATAAATAATATGGGTGATCTTGTAGGAGTTGCAATTATCATTTAATAAGCAGCATACAAGTAAGTCTGTGTATAAGGAGGTAGTACTAAAAAGAATTTTGAAGCCCTTGAGCAGACTGTTAGTGTGACAGCAGATAGTAGGGAGCCTCTCAGAGTGTTCTGTTGGGAATGTGATGATGGAATGTCATGGACAGAGGAAAGACGGTGTAGAAGGATGCATTGATGAAAGTAAAATTTCTGAATTGTCTGCTCTGAATTTGCAGTTTAACATATTCTCTGCTTTGATGCACCTGAGAGAGTAGGTTAATATTCATGGTCTTGGAAAGAAAACTAATTCTTTTACCTCTTGTGAAATACACATGACTCTAACATGTATGTGTTACTGTCCTGGATTTCTCTTTCTTTGTGTTCATAATGCTTATTTCATCTACATTCATTTTTAAGGGGCCAGAACCAGGTATGTTGTGTTTCCTATGAATAGATTAACTGTGAGAATCTGACTAAACACTGCATATTGCATTATGGTAAGACCCGCTAAGACTGGCTCATCTCATATGTGATTTTTTTCCTTAAGACAAGCATGGTCTCTTTAGAAGGCCTCACCAAAGTAGTTGACCCTTCTCAGCTCACTCCCGAGTTTGATGGCTGCCTGGAATACAACCATGAGGAATGGATTGAAATCAGAGTTGCTTTTGAAGACTATATTAGCAATGCAACCCACATGCTCTCCCGACTAGAGGAACTTCAGGACATGCTAGCCAAGAAGGAGTTGCCTCAGGATTTAGAGGGGGCACGTAATATGATTGAAGAACATTCCCAGTTGAAAAAGAAGGTGATTAAGGCCCCCATTGAGGACTTGGATTTGGAGGGGCAGAAGCTGCTTCAGAGGATTCAGAGCAGTGATAGCTTTCCCAAAAAGAACTCGGGGTCAGGCAACGCAGACCTGCAGAACCTCTTGCCCAAGGTGTCCACCATGCTGGACCGGCTGCATTCGACCCGGCAGCATCTGCATCAGATGTGGCACGTGAGGAAACTGAAGCTGGACCAGTGCTTTCAGCTAAGGCTGTTTGAACAGGATGCTGAGAAGGTAAAGGGGGGAGATGAGTGGGACATGGAGGGAAGCTTCTGAGTCAGGGGCTCTGTGTGGACAGGTGAAGGAAAGAGAGAGTGGGTGGAGACTGGCTGGCCTCCACCCACTGCGTTTGCTCTAAACAAGCAAGAGCCACTTCAGAGATAGCACTTCTTTCTGGTTTGCAGCTTTTATCATTGTGGAGAATGGTGCTACTTTAGAAATTTCAAGTTTAAATTACTGTTGACTTGGTCCAGATAGACAAGATGCCTGACAATATTGTGAGATTGTGTTATTGAAAACAATACAGTGTGTATGAATTTTGCACATTCCTGCTTTTTTACTTTTACAAATCCAGTGACAGAACACTATTCAGATCCATTATGTTTTAAAAATAAAAGGTAAGTATGCATTAAAAATAATATATTCTTTCTGAGCAGTACAGGCAGTAGTTATGTGTGTCTTGTACTCATCTGCACTGGACTAACCAGCTGGTCAAAGTGAATTCTTGTCAGTTACTGGCTAATTCACTTTTAGAGTGTGAAAACAGGGCACTTGCAAACAAGAAAGCATCGCAAACTTGAACTTGGGCTAATTTTAAATTCTTAATTTGAGCTCATTGATTGTACATGTACAGAAGAATCTTTTGTAAAGTAAAAAGCTGCATTAGGGATCTTTGACATAAAAGGACCTATTGAAAGATGAAAATCCATGATTATTATTTGGTAAGCTTTAAACATATCTGTCAGTGTACTTTTGTCTTAAGTAGTACATTGTCAATGACGTTAGACAAATTTTCCTTCTAGTTACTAGAAAATCAGGTTACTGTCTCTGGGATTCTGGTTCAAGTCATGGTAACAAAGCTGATTGATAGTTCTATTTCCTTAATAGACATCCTTATCTAAGTACCATTGTTATTGAACTTTAATATGTGTGTGTGTGTATCATTGTTAAATTTTTCCCCAAGTTCCTTTTATTTTTATAGTAAATTTTATTGTTTGCATTTTCACAGGCTTCTGTATACCTTTTGCATTAAAAAGCATAACATTTCAGTCAACTGGTGTTGCTGTCAGTGTTCTGTAGTCAGAGCAAAACCCATCCAGAGGCCTGTAAATCCCTGGTATCACTGAACAGGCCTTAAATATGAGTAGTTTGGCAAATGAAGCTGTTTAGCTTACGGGGCGGCTGGGTTGAGAGTTACCAAGCAGTCCTAGGGATTTGATTCTTAAATCCTCCTCTATAAGAGGACCACTAGGTAAGATTTTCTTGTACATTTTGCAAGTTCAGAACTGCTGGCCTTTTAGAAGTAAAGACTGTTCCACGCGTAATCCCTGAGACATCAGAAAGGGAGGGAATCACTCTTTTTTGGGATGGCCATCCATCATTCTCTTTCTGGAGTGATGCTAACTTGTTTTGTTTTGTTTTGTTTTGTTTTGTTTTCCTTCTGGTAGATGTTTGACTGGATCACACACAACAAAGGCCTGTTTTTAAACAGCTACACGGAGATCGGGACCAGCCATCCTCATGCTATGGAGCTTCAGACACAGCACAATCACTTTGCCATGAATTGTATGGTAAGAGAGCATCAGAGCAGTGCCCCTGTCTGGGAGCTGTGGCAGCTGATGGGAGGCATAAGTGGATCAGGCAGGGTGCTTGGAGTCCTGACTGCAGCAGTGTAGCTCTGTGTGTAGGGAGTTCTCTACTGTTTGAAGATCTGTGCAGCTTGTTTGAAACTGAACAAATATATATTTTTTTAATTTTATTTATTTGAAAGACAGAGTTACAGAGAGAGATAGAGCCAGAGAGAGAGATGTCTTCCTTCCGCTGGTTTGCTCCCCCAGTGACCCCAGTGGCCACAGCTGAGCTGATCCAAAGCCAAAGCCAGGAGCTAGGAGCTTCTTCCGGATCTCACTAGGGTGCAGGGGCCCAAGACCTTGGGCCATCTTCTTTTTTTTTTTTTTTTTTTTTTTTTTTAATAGGCAGAGTGGACAGTGAGAGAGAGAGAGAGAAAGGTCTTCCTTTTTGCCGTTGGTTCACCCTCCAATGGCCGCCACGGCCGGTGCGCTACGGCCGGCGCATCGCGCTGATCTGAAGCCAGGAGCCAGGTGCTTCTCCTGGTCTCCCATGCGGGTACAGGGCCCAAGGACTTGGGCCATCCTCCACTGTACTCCCAGGCCACAGCAGAGAGCTGGCCTGGAAGAGGGGCAACCGGGACAGAATCCGGCACCCCGACCGGGACTAGAACCCGGTGTGCCGGCGCCGCAGGCAGAGGATTAGCCTATTGAGCCGCGGTGCTGGCCGGACCATCTTCTATTATTTTCCCAGGCATAGCAGAGAGCTGGATTGAAGAGGAGCAGCCAGGACTCAAACTGTCACCCATATGGGATGCCAGCACTGCAGGCTGGGACTTTAACCTTCTGTACCACAGCACCGGTTTTTAAAAAGCAAACCACCTGATCAGTGAAGCCTGAACCTGTTCATCCTGGAGGTTTGGTGCCACCTCCTGGGCTTGATTTCACAGGGGATTGCAGGGGCTCTAGGAAGGCCTTCTTGGCTCACAGTGAGTCTCTGTAATGGCCCTGCTCTTTTGCTTACACCATGCATGACCACAAAAGAGGCCAGCTGCTGTTTACCCCAAGGGCACACTCCAATTCTCCTAAAACAGATTTCCTTCCCTGTTGAATGGCAGCATGGGAGTCCTTCAGTTGGGCTTGGAACCCCCAGCCATCTGAGGCTGATGCATCTGATACCTTCAGGTTTCAGGATTCTGTAGACCAGGCAGGGTTGCCCTAAGACTGCATGCGAGACAAAATCAACAAAACAACATTGGATCTTTGAATGGCACTTCTGTCACATTTTTAGTTAATGTTACTAAAATAAAAGCGTATGTTGGTTCTAGAGGACATGTGCTTCTTTAGACAGTCAAGGTTCTGGAAAGTTCCTTTTCAGGGACAAGCAATTTTGTTTTGGATTCTAAGCCATCCTTGTGATAATGAACTGCTTTTAGGCCTTGTGACATGTTACGAGCACTGAAGCAGTAGAGTGGGGTCAATATCAACTGTACATGGTGTTGCATTGGTTATTGGCTCTGTCCCTGTAAAGTAGTAAACACTCTGCATGCTGCATAGTGAGTGCTCAGTAAATGCTGTGATTATTTTATCAGCGTGGTTTACAATATAATTAAAGCAGGTAAGAAAGCCTTAAAATTATGGGTAATGTCATTTTTTTTAGATTATCTGTATTTTCTTTCTGTAATATACTATCATTTTTCTAAGTTAAAATTTTCATTTGAGAATGTGAGCTCTGTAGTGTGCTAGGTGAGGGCTGCTGAGGGGGCTTTTCATGTCCACCCTTGTTCTGAACATTTCCATTAATTCTTAGTATCCATTTATTTATGTAGAGTGATGCCTATCAACCTTCAGCCCTTTTCTTGCTATCTGTAGTTTTTTGAAGATTTTTTTTAAAATAAAAATACTAAATATGAAAAGTTGACAGTCTTTAAAAAAGCATTTTAAGGAATACCAACAATTATGCTGTTTCTGCTATATCAGACATTTATAAAAGCTCTGATGGTAAGAATCTGTGATTGTTACTTTTCACGTAGAGGACTGTATATTCTATATTCATGTACAGGCTGTTTATTTAGGTTGTGTGCCACCATACTCCTTTGTGTGTGCTGCTAGTGACTGGTATAGTCTGTTTGGAATATAAAAGTATCTCAGGAAATTGTGACTCTAACACTTAAAAACTGAAGTATAAATGAGTACAGTCAGTGGTTCCCCCAGTAGAGCCATCCAAAAACACACTGTTTTCCAGATCCTAACAAAGAGTGTCTTCTGGTGCTTTTTATAACAGAGCTTTTGGATTGCTGTTTCCTCTTTAAGGATACAGAGACAGCAAAATTAGCAAATCTAGTCACCATCCACTTTACTAGGAGGGGCAAAAAAGAGAAAGTGCAGGAGAATGTATAGGCATTGCTTTTAACTTAAAGGACACAGGTAGAGCATGAGTACCACAAAAGTCACTGGGGTCTTCTCAGATGATCTCGATCTTGACTGTCACAGCCTCTCAAAAGGGCCCTCTCCCCTGCTACTTCCAGACGTGTGACGTCTGTTTGCTGACTGTAGCCTTCAGATAGAGTCCAGTAAAGTAACATAGACTCATTCTGTAGCTCCTTAATCCCTGACTAGTATAGCTTCCATTTCTGATTTGGGTTGGAAATAGAGGGAAAGGGTGAATAAAAGAATGTGCAAAGAAACAGTAGACAGGTGAGTTCTTCAGAAGGTTCACTTGGATGAACTGCAGACCCCTCGACACCCCAGGCAGTGAGGAAACTGTTCCAAGGTCCATATTTGGGAGAAAGATCCAGGGAGGAAGAGAGGGAAGGGAGGAAAATGTAGAAGAGGTTGGACAGATCGGGTAAAACTAGATTAGGGGCAAGATTGGAGGGGCCAGAGACATGTATGTGATGTTGGGAGACCCATTGAGAGGAACTATGTAGGGACAATATCACAAAAATAATGAATGCAAGTGTATGAAGAACAAGAGGATCTGTTGAAGGTGTGCAACCTCCCCACTCCTCTACTGCCTTAGCCCATTTTCCACTGCTGTAATGAAAAACCTTTATAAAGAAAAGAGGTTTGTTTAGCACGGAGTTCTGGAGGATCCTGCCTCAGCTGAACTCTGGTGAGGGCTTTGTTGTAGGACAGCATGATAGGCAGGAGAATATATGAGGGTGAGAGATCATCACGTGGCAGGCAGGAAGCAGAGAACAACTCCAGGGGACAGTCTAGTTCTTTCAAAACAAGTTGTTTTGAAAGAGGTAACAAGGGCCCCACGAGAACTACATCTGTTCTTAGGGCCATGTCTCACCTTTACCTTCTCACTCATTACCTTCACCAGGCCCAGCCTACTAAAGGTCCCACCACCTCTCAAATGGCTGCATTGGAACACATGAACCCTTGGGATCCAATCACATGCAAACCATCCCAGCCACCTGAGATAGAAAACTGAGCCTTAGAGGAGATTGGAATAGGACAAGGAAATGCCACAGTGAAAAAGTGTTTTTCAGAAAGATTGGTAGTTTTGTTGCTGTTTACTGAAAGCTTCCTGTCTTTGTGTGTGTGTGTATGTGTGTGTGTGTGTGTTGCAGTAAACTGGTAGACTTGAAGATAGGAATTTCAACAGGGTAAAAAAGCTTTATTTAAAATTTGAATACAGCATTGTTATGTTTCTACCTCAGTTCATTTTCCTGGGAGAAAGTGGGTCCATTTACAGAAGATTTTTTATTGGCACCAAAAAAAATGACTTGGGCTCTTGTAGAAAGGAGAGCTTGTTTTCACACAAATAGCCTTTGGTTGCTAAGTACATATTTTTCAGTTTCTGGGTTCTAGCTAAAACTGAAACGCCGGGTCCCTTCAGTTCTGCGTGACTGCCTGTCAGTTGGCTTGCCATCTGGACCCTTTTCAGTTTTTGAAGCCAAGAAGTGAGTAATAGTATATTTGTGTGTACCCACTTGTGTATTTGATTGCTTTGTGCTTAACAATTATGCCTTTCAGCTAGTTGATTTGTAATTTTATAATTTTAAAAATAGAAATTGGAGCCAATACCCAGTTTCTGGAAATCCAAGGAGTGAACATGTAGATTAGGGTATATCAGGTGATTCTACTGTTAACAACATGATGACTTTTACTAGACTGTGTTTTGCAAAGAGCAGTCCAGATTTCTTAGAAAGGAGCCCCCTTGTGCTTTCCCCTAACACAGGCTCTTCCATTCTTGCAGAACGTGTATGTAAATATAAACCGCATCATGTCGGTGGCAAACCGCCTTGTGGAGTCCGGCCACTATGCCTCTCAGCAGATTAAGCAGATTGCCAATCAGCTTGAGCAGGAGTGGAAGGCGTTTGCGGCTGCACTGGATGAGCGGAGCACCTTGCTGGACATGTCCTCCATTTTCCACCAGAAGGCTGAAAAGGTTAGTACTTGGAACCTGCAGCCCAGAATGGGGTAACCAGAGTGTCTCCTCCCTTAGGAATCTTTGTATGTACCAAATCCTTGGAGAGCTTTCGTGTCACACTTACTATGAGCTCTGAAGTCCTTCAGCTCTGCGTTCCAATCCCAGCTGGCTTACTCTTATTTATGAAACCTTAGGCAAGTTATTTAACTCTTTCTATTCTTTCATTTTTTTATTTGTAAAGTAGAGATAACAGCATCTGCTTGAGAGGGTTGGTTTATTATATAAACAGCATTTGTGTTGGGTGCATATAATGTATACAGAGTCATGCTTGCAACCAGAAATGTTTCAGATTTTGCAGTTTTTCAGATTCTGGAGTATTTGTGTGGACTTTACAGATCAAGGATCCCTAATCTAAAATCCAAAACTTCGAGTGCCTCTATGATCTCAAAAGTTTAGGGTTGCTCAGTCTGGACTTATGAATGGTGGTTACTATTCTTTCTCCACTCCTCCTCCTCTCTCTTACCCCTTCCTTATCATCACTTCCCTTTATTATTCCTGTTAGGATGCTTAGATTGAGGAACAGAACCAATGGAATGCCTGCCTGTGGTTTAGCACAGGGGCTTGCTGAGGTTTAGTCACTTCTGGCTGTATAACAGCATCAGCTGGGGTGCTCTGGGGTTTGCCTGGCCTCCCATCATAGTTATAACACGTATGCCCCTGCTCCTCAATGGCAGTGAGAGAAGGCAGAGATGAAGACAGTATCCTCACCTGTCGCTCCCCCTCTTCGTGGAGGAACGACACTAAACCCTGCGCTGTTCTTTCATCTGCTCGGCCCTCCCCGGGTTTGCTGCTGGTTCTTCCCGGGTTGGCTACTATCCCTTCCACCTCCGTGGAAGGGCAGTTCCCCCTGGCCACATTCCCCACTTCCGCAGGGGAGCGGCACACCGCCGGCCGGCTTTCTCTGGGGGCTGCACAGGTGTTCCTTCAGCTAGATGTTCCCCTTAGATGTTCCCTATAGATGTTCCTGGTGCGTGCCGTCTCTCTCCTCCTTTATAGTCCTCTTCCGCCAATCCTAACTCGGCTGCCCACACGCCGAGTACGCTGCTCTCCAATCAGGAGCAAGTCCTACAGTTAATTGGTTGAACTGGAGGCAGCTGTGCGGAAGCTGTTTACTTCTCTCCCAGCGCCATATTGTGGGAGAGCAGATGCATAGAATAAGTCTTAATTCCAGTAACTCAGTCTAGTCCGGGTTGCTCCCCACACTCACCCATCACTGGATGTCAGGGAAATGTTTCCAGCAGGCCCAGCATACCTCCCTCGGTTCCCACTGGCCAGGCTTGGGCTCTGTGCCCATGTCCACTGCAGTGGAAGGAAAAGGGCAGATCTGGCCCTTCAACCTCTCCAGCCACAGGCAAGTCTCAACCAGCAAGGGTTAAGGTGGAAAGTGGCTTCTGGGCAGGCAGTTTGAGTGTCTGTTCACAGTTGTTAAGTTATCTATATGGATCCTGACTTCCCGTGGATTCCTTCTGCTGGTGTATTGTTTCAGAGCATCTTGTTTACCAGGTACAGTATGTTATATGCCTGTAACACTCCCCACACCTCCACACACCTCTGCTCAAACTCCTTGCTTAAACCAGTAGTGCAGGCAGCAAGGGATGTGCTTGTGACTCAGACTGCATGGCGGAATGCCTGTCAGATGTGGAGAGAGCACAAGGACTTTTGACTGCTAGCAGCATATGTATGTATGAATGAGGCAAATGGTTGCTTTATTTAAAGGGAAAGATCTTTAGTCTAACTTTCTTAGGGATGGTTTTAGGGGGTGCAAATCTGCGTTCATAAGGATTTACACTTCCAAAAGGCAGTAGAATCTGTATAATTTGGAAGCAATCTCTAATAAAAGTAAGTCAGAGGCCCTGTGTACCTGGAATTTCAGCAAGGCATTCAGAGTGTTGCACAAGATGCAGATTAGCAGCAATATCAGCTTTAGAAACCTTTAAAGTGTGAAGCATGAAAGGAAACTGAGCAGAATATAAAGAGAAAAGAGTCGTAATAGCATCACATAAAGGACTTGAGCTTTTCAGTGGTAAGGATACTTCTACTCACCAACCTTATGCATTGGTCTAATTTCATCATAAAAGACAAAAACCCAAACATGAAACAATTTTTTAACAGAACCCTTCCTTATAGTTCCTTTTTTTTCTTTTATTTATTTATTTATTTATTTAGGCAGGCAGAGTGGACAGTGAGAGAGAGAGACAGAGAGAAAGGTCTTCCTTTACTGTTGGTTCACCTTCCAATGGCCGCTGCGGCTGGCGCGCTGCGGCCGGCACACCGCGCTGATCCGAAGTCAGGATCCAGGTGCTTCTCCTGGTCTCCCAGGTGGGTGCAGGGCCCAAGGACTTGGGCCATCCTCCACTGCACTCCCGGGCCACAGCAGAGAGCTGGCCTGGAAGAGGGGCAACCGGGACAGAATCTGGTGTGCCAGTGCCGCAGGCAGAGGATTAGCCTATTGAGCCGCGGTGCCAGCCCAACAGTTACTTTTTTAACAGAACCTGTTCTCAGTATAGCACTGTCTTCATGACTCTGTCCACCTCTGATCCTATTGTATTACCGTTCAGAGTATGATGTACTTAATCATTTGACGTTGTTGTCAGTGGAAAGATGAGCTGTGTACCTGTACATGTGTGTCTTCTGTAATGGTAAAATGGGAGACGTGTGAATTGGTAGTGGACCCAGAGCAGTACAAGACAATAGGAATCAATCTGATGCAGGACAGCCTTGAGTGAAAGGCGGACTTAAGCATAACCCAGAAGGAAAACCACTTTCACAGACATGACGGGATTCAGAATTATAAATAAACCCAGAGGACTACTTGCTGCTCTGATGTGCCTGAAAATCATTTAGAAATGTGGGTGCCATGGGGCATTTCACTTCCAATGTGTTATTATCAAGAATCTCAAACATGTAGCAAACAAAGTTGAAAGAGCCCAAGGTGTTTTTATTTGGATAACATGAATGGTGTAATTTATGTTTTTGAAGGAAGCTGAAGTAGATGAATACATCAGTGAACAGCATTTCATGGGCTCCTGAATACTGTAAAGGTGCCTGGGGTTTCTCCACACACGAAGTGGCCAGAGACGCTGAATAGGAGTTTACAGAGAAGGAGTCCTGCACATGTTCTAGGCATGCACCTGGACACAGAAATGTGCAGAAAGTGTTTCCTTACTCAGAAATGTATATGTCTCCTGGCTCGCTGAACAGAAGCAAGATCCTTGGATTCTAATGCTTGGAAGCAGATCTTGTCTTCTGACGTCACTTCCTCTTCCAGGAGAACAGTCACGGGAGGAGCACAGTTTCATTCCCATTAGAGTAGTCACAGGAAGAGCTCTTTCTAAATCCTTTGCCTTCTGGTTATGCTTAATCCCAGCTCCATCTGGGAAGGCAACTCAGATGTCAAAACTTAGGTTTCCATTTTAGCCACCTGTCTGGACCCCATCCAGAGTTGCCATGAGGGATTTAAACCTGATTATGGGAACATCAGGCTCAATTATGTGAGCTCACAACTGATGGTCTTACTAATGGAAGCAGCCTTCTCTGCAAGGGTTCAACTGCCAGCCTTGTACCTCCATCTCTATGGATGTTTTTATGTTAGTGTTTGCTTATGACTTTAGAAACATAAAGCTTGGGGATAAAACAGAGGAGAAAGATATGTCACAGCTCTGAGACCTTCCAAAGATGGCAGCGCCATTCTCTCTCACGCTTTCATCTCCCCCATGTTCTCTCACCCCCAGTTTAGGATGAGAATATCAGTTTGCAAATAGCGGTTAAGAGATTTCACTCTTGGCCATTTCACTGGTAATCCTTTTATACTAAGAAGCTTTCACAATGCAAGTTATTAGCATATTTTTGTAACAATAAAGAACTAAAGTGACTTGATATCTCTGTACCTTAAAATCTCCAGTTTTTTCTGTTAAAAGCAATAAAGTAGAGCTGTACTGTCCAAGGTAGTAGCCAATCACCATCTCTGGCTATTGAAACTACTCGAGGTTAAAAAAATTTCATTAATAATTAAATAATTTTAAAAGATAAAATTAAAACCAGTTCCTTACAGCATCCACATTTCCTATGCTCAGCAATAACAGGTGGCCAGCAGCTACTGCAATAGACAGCAAGGACACATTTGTGTCACTCGGCATCTGGGCTGCTCATAGAGGCACTTCACTGTGAGTCAGAACCATGACCACCTATTTTATCTATGACTCCAACGGCTTCTGTACTTTGAGAACCCCAAATAAAATGGCATCTAGTGTTTGTATAGCTATTTTAACATTTATAGAGCTCTTTAACATGGAATCTTATTTCATCCTCAAATCAGCCTAGTGGGGGCCGACCTTGCGGCAGAACTGGTTAAGCTGCCTCTGTGATGCCAGCTGTGGGGAGCAACTCGGACTAGACTAAGTTACTGGAATTAAGACTTATTCTATGCATCTGCTCTCCCACAATATGGTGCTGGGAGAGGAGAAAACAGCTTCTACACAGCTGCCTCCAGTTCAGCCAATAAACTGTAGGACTTGCTCCTGATTGGAGGAGAGCAGCGTACTTGGCGTGTGGGCAGCCGAGTTGGGATTGGCGGAAGAGGACTATAAAGGAGGAGAGAGACGGCATGCACCAGGAACATCTAAGGGGAACATCTGAGGGAACACCTGTGCAGCCCCCGAGAGAGCCGGCCGGTGGTGTGCCGCTCCCCTGCGGAAGTGGGGAAAGTGGCCAGGGGGAACCGCCCTTCCACGGAGGTGGAAGGGACGGTAGCCAACCCGGGAAGAACCAGCAGCAAACCCGGGGAGGGCCGAGCAGATGAAAGAACAGCGCAGGGTTTAGTGTCGTTCCTCCACGAAGAGGGGGAGCGACACCAGCATCTCATATGGGCACCAGTTCACATGCCAGCTGCACCACTTCCAATCCAGCTTCTGGTTAATGCTCCTGGGAAAGCATTAACCAGAAGAGGATGGCCTAAGCGC